ATGTGTGTTCGTTTAAGTGTGTGTGTGTTTGATATGCATATGAACGTATCGGTTTGTGGAAATATGTGGAAGAACTCGAAAAACGTTCTTCTTTGTCAAATTTTGTTTTTCTTTCGTATCCTTTAAACTTCTCGGAATTTTACGCTCGTTGAACCGTTATACTTGGCTGTCCCGCCGAGATGTGGGGGAGATTAGGAACTGAGAGAGAAAGAGAAAGAGAGGAGAGGGAGAGGGAGAGGAGAGGGAGAGAGAGAGAGAGAGAGAGAGAGAGAGAGAAGAGAGAGAGAGAGAGAGAGAGAGAGAGAGAGAGAGAGAGAGAGAGAGAGAGAGAAGAGAGAGAGAGAGAGAGAGCAGACAAGACAGACAGACAGACAGACAGACAGAGAGGAGAGATAGATAGATAGAGAGAGATAGAGAAAGAGAGAGAGAGAGAGAGAGAGGAGAGAGAGAGAGAGAGAGAGAGAGAGAGAGAGAGGAGAGAGAGAGAGAGAGAGAGAGAGAGAGAGAGAGAGAGAGAGAGAGAGAAACTTCATTCTCTTTTGCTCTGCTAATACCTCTTTCTTTCTCTCTCTCTCTCTCTCCCTCCCTCTCTTTTTTTCTCTCGCTCTGTCTATCTATTTATTTATCTATCTATCTATCTATTTATCTATCTAACTATCTCTCTATCTCTCTCATATTCTCTCTTTCTCTCTCTCTACTTCTTATTCCTCTCCCTCAGGCAGACTATTCTAACTATATTGAATAGTCATTCTCGAAATCAACAACATTATAATGATCTCAGTCATTATAACGTCATTCTCAACATAACTTCGAAATGACTTGAGAGCGAATGTGGAAGAATGAATAATTTTCAAAACTAATGAAAAAATCTAGTCAAATAAAGTATGCAATAAATGTCTTGCATACTTCGTTGTGCAATTTATCCGTTCTCTCTGTGCAAGGTTTTCAATGTAATATTGATAATTGCAAGAAAGGAAAAATGGAGTTGGGGGGACAAAAAGTGTGAGAAGAAAAAAGGAAGAGGGAAAGAGAGAGTGAGAAAAAGAGAATGGAGTAAGGAGAAAAAAGTAGATAGATAGATATAGAAAGATATACAGACAGGTAGGCATATAATTTTTAAAATACGATAGGCAGATAAATATACAGATAGACTAAAGAACAAACCGGTCAAGACTGATAACATGGCAGATAGATGGAAAATAGATAGATAGAGGAATATACAGATAAATAAAGAAAAGCGAAGGAAAAAAATGATTTTGAGGACACTAAAAAGAAGAAGAAACTAAAACACTAAAACTAACCACGCCAGAATGAATCACAATTTCAATTACGATATTTAAAGACTGGAGGAACAGTTACGAATACCCATAAGCGCCCACGAGGCACTTGAAAGACAAGCTTACCGGCACACGCCCAAAGCACAACTCTCTAGGAAATAATCATCTGTGCCGAGAGACAGAGGGGACGGAGGAGGAGGGGGAGGGAGCGGGGTGGAGAAGGCAGAGGAGCAGAGAGCGCAGGAGGAGAGAGGAGGAGGCTAGGAGGAGGAGGAGGACGTGAGGAGCGCTGGAGAGGAGGAGGAGGGACAGTGGTTAGATCCTCTTTCCAGTGAGGTGGGAGGAGGAGGAGCGGAGGAGGAGGAGGAGGAGGAGGAGGAGAGCGAGGTGGGAGGCAGGAGGAGCCGAGGAAGAAGACAGGGTGGAGGAGGAGNCATTATATTATCATTACTGTTTTTCTATATTATCATCATCATTATTATTATTATTGCTGTTTTTCTATATTATCATCATCATCATCATCATCAGTATTATTGCTTTTTGCTATATTATTATCTTCATCATTATTATTGCTGTTTTTCAATATCATCATCATCATTATTATCTTTGCTGTTTTTCTATATCATCATCATTATTGCTGTTTTTCAATAGTATTATCATCACCATTATTATTATTGCTGTTTTTCTATATTATCATCATCATTATTATCTTTGCTGTTTTTCTATATTATTATTATCATCATTATTATTATTGCTGTTTTTCAATATTATTATCACCATCATTATTATCGTTACTATTATTATTACATTATCATTACTGTTTCTATATTATCATCATCATCATCATCATTATTATCATCATTATTGCTGTTTTTCAATATTATTATCATCATCATTATTATCATTACTGTGTTTCTATATTATCATCATCATCATCATCATTATTGCTATTTTCCTCCCCTCCCCGTCGTCACCACAATGGCTCACTCTCCCCCCTCCCTCCTTCCTTCTTCAGGGCCTGACGGTGGTGGGGACGTTCCTGCCCTCGTACCTCCCGGACTGGCCCGTCGACAACCTCTCCCTGTGGCTGTCGCTAGCGGAGGGCCTGCTGCTCCCTCTGGTGCTGGGCCTCGTCGACGCCACCTTCAGCGGGGCGGCGGGGGCGTCCTGCTCCCGGGAGAAGCCGCAGCCGCACAAGTATGACGGTGAGTTGTGGGGTAGGG